CCACACACACTCATAAAACTGAAGAATCTACAATGGGTTTACATGTGCTCAAGTCACTTATAAAATTTCCACTAAAAGTCTACTGTCAACTAAAATTATATAACTTTAAAACACTCAGTGAATTACGCTACTTGTATTATGGAAGTTTGTACATTCAACTAACGTCGAATGTAAACATTTCTCTGTCAATACGGATGTACCTGGCCGATACTCAAACAAACAATAGTACACCTCTTCTCCAGCGATCACTGTGGCACTAATACCGAAAGTTTCAGAATCCATAAATGCAATCTCAGATCAAATGGGTGAATTTCCTCAATTTTCTACAATGACAAAGTGAAAATAAACGCTTAAAGGCACTTTGCTCTTGGGTCCTCCGCCTAATTAACTGTGACCACCCTCACTGATACATAGCTGTTTTAGGTTTCCGAGATAAATTTATTTTATAATTTATGTAGTTCAAGAAGGTCAAAATGAGCAATTAATTCAAAGAAAATTTTGAAGTATTGGTTTTTTAGGGCACAACAGGTTGAAGGTCGAGGTATACATCTCGAAATGGTCACGGCATGTCATGAATTGGCAGAAGTTGGAATTTATCGGCCATTGGGTCGGGTCTCAGAGGCTTAATGGTTTAGGAGCTGGCTCCCCTTGTAGCCAGAAGATCCTGGGTTCAAACCCTTGTGGTAGGTGCCTACTGCTGAAGAGTCTCAAGGAACTAGGAAGAAGCAGCTGTCCCATATTAGTTTGTTTATTAGGTATATCACACAGTGAAACAGTACTATTTACTGGATGACGTTTTGAACAAAATTTATTGTTCATAATCATTTCAATTGTAATCACACGACTTTGATACTTGAGTTCTATAGTTTTTTTGTTTTCTCCCATTTGTCGTAATGGTAGTAGAATTTTCCATATATCTGGAACAGGTGATGAATCATTTCTATTACATATATTTGCAGTTGATTCGATTAACAAAGCTTCTGTTATCAATGTTTCCCTATACCCTGTGACATTAGATTTTAAAACTGTCATCCTATCCCATCCTATTGTATGGTTGTGTGTGATTGCATGTAATGCTATGGCTGAACTAGATTTCCAGATTTCTTTTCTTATTTGGGTTAACCAATCTATATTTTGCTAAGTTTTTATGTTCAGCTAGTCTGACTGTCACTGTTCTACTAGTTTGACCTATGTATTTGACTTGACAATCATTACAGGCAGGGTATTAGATAAACTGAATTGTTTTATTTTAAAAGCTCCACAGGATCCTTTAACCGACAAAGCTTGTTTCTAATCGAGTTTGTGGGTTTGAATACCAGCCACTTTTGTTCCTGCCTTGTTAAGAATTCTGCGTAAGGCCTCCGAGGTTCCTTCCTTTGTATGCAATTACTGTTGATGATATAGATTCCTCATTGGTGGTGTGGTCATTAATATTATTATTAATATCATCACTATTATTATTATCATCATTATTAGTATTATCATTATTATTGTTATTATTATCACTATCGCTACTATCATTATTTATTTTATTTTAGATTTCCTTACATATTTCGTGACTAATTTATCCGGATAATTATTAAGTTTCAAGGCTTCTTTTATGTGTATCATTTCTTGTCTTAGATTTTCCTTAATACTATTTAGTTTTTGTGCTCTGTCACTTAAACATTTTACCAATCCTAAAAATAGGAATTACTTACTACCACAGTGCTCAAGTTTTGCACATATATTAAGAAACAGCTGTCCAGTATTCCCAGGTGGTTTCCCAATGGTTCTCTAAGTGATGTCAGCTGATGGTGGAATCCTCTAACCAATCCAAGGAAAAGTTTGTAATTTCAATTTTTTCGTCAACATTAACTGTCGAATTCATCAGAACTGTAGATAGTGTTATGAGGAATCAAATAAACAAATATTTTGTATTATATGACTCAGACGAGCTATTTGTGATAAACATTTTTGACTTAGTTCTTTGTATCTGGCTTTCTCAGCCTGCGTATGCGTAGCATTCCTATAACTTCACATTCAAAGCAGTGACTTTGAGTCATTCACACACTATTTACTCAAATCAGCGTCCGTCTAATTATCCAGTGAGAACATTACAGCATAAGGTGAATTTCACAGGTGATCAGGGACTCATTCTTCCGTTTGGATTGCGTCAGTTTGCATTATTACAGACAAACAACAATGGATGAAATAGCATATTACTGATTTAACATCTTGACGTGATGAAGCTCTAGGTGAATGCCATAAAATCTAATAAATCTTCTATGTCGCAATTTTTTGGGAAATGACTGTTCAGCGAACAGTGGCAAGACATTTCATAAACCCAAGAATTATTCAGTATCTGAATAATACATACATACATACAAAAACTCATAACAACTAACATTCGTTGGCACTGTAGAAGTGGTGATTAGTGATACTGTTTAAGACTTCAACGTTTGGTGCATATTTTAAAAATACACTATACTATGATATATTATGTACCACTGTTCTACTTCAACATTCTGCACAATCGTTATGCCCTTTGTAATAAAGAATACTGGGAAAACGCAGTGTTTTTACAAATGGCATTCTCAGAATAAAGCTGTCATAGTGATAAATTTCAAGGCCAATTTGTAAAGGTTAGGTTTGTCAATCGAGTTTGACCGCGGATTGATATCAGTTGGAGAACAACTGAAAAACAGGGAGTACTGGACAGCTGTTTCATCCTGGCTTGGACATCATCGGCAGTATGTACCCACTGGGATTCGAACCCAGGACCTTCCGGTAACAAGGAAAGCTCGTATACCATCCAGCCATTGGGACCTGATTTAATGGCTCACGAATTCTAACTTCTATCAATTCGTGATTTAACACGACCCGACCATGAAACTCACTAGTGACTTGCTACAGGATGGAGTTTTCTGTTTATGAGGCAGGCTGGTATACCATGCAGCGACCGGGACCTGATTCAACAGTCCATGAATTCTAAATTCTACCAATTTGGGATTTTTGTGCGAACACTAGACCATATCATCAGCGTAAAATCCATCCTTGAATGGATGGACCTCACTGGTCACGACTTATCAAGCTTCCCAAACTAGGATGAAACAGCTGTCCAGTACTCCCAAGTTTTCAATGGTTCTTTAACTGGTATCAATCCATGGTCAAACTCCAAATACTGATAATTATTATTTCTATTGTTTAGTAAAGTACTGTCACGCTGAAACTTCCATTTGAAATGGATGGAAATAGCCGATATTTTATTAATCATTTGAAAAAGTCATGTGGAATGATGAATGGATTGGCATTATTTCTAGATTAAAAATTGCTGACTAAAGAGAGTTACGCCTTGAAGAGGATGTTTTCTGTGGCAGCAACATCGCAATAGTGACTGCAATGAATTATTTAAGGAATTAACTTAATACATTTATATTTAATATTTTACCTTTCCAAATATATAAATGGTTTTTTCTGCATCACGAAAAGAATATTCATTGTTTACGTTATAAGTAGCATATGATGATGTGTATTTGAACTGCCCGAATTTATTTTTTTTTGAAAAATCTTATAGGATCTTGTGACTTCTTTGTTATGCATGAATGAATGGCGTGGAATTTATATTTTTGAATGTCTTAAGTTATTGACAAAATGTACAACATAATCGTAAACATTATGGGTAAAATTTGTTTTGATAAAGTTTCACAGTGTTATATCGTAATATTACTTACTGTACAACATTGTGAGACTTTGTTAAACAATAAATTTTACCCATAATGGAATCATACTCCACCAACGTGCACAAGTTCTGTTCTTATATAGTCGTAAACAGATTCTGTTTTCAGTGTAAATCTTGTTTTCATCGACGTATCTATGTATTGGCTTTGATTCCAAGAGAATCTTGTGTTCCACGACCTGGATAGGAAAACGTATCTGTATATGACACGGAAAATGCATAATGTGTATTGAATGTTATTAATGATTTAGAATTATTTGGTCCTTATGATGCTTTAGGTAACAATCAGCTTGAAACTGATTCACTAATTCTAAATGTTTTCAGGGTCAATCTTGCTTTAATAATCATCTTTATTTGTTGACGGTGATTTCAACAGAATGTTTTTTTGTTTTCCTTCACGTTCCCAGTGGAACATAGGGCTTCAAGCTAGGGCTTGAAGTTTTTGTAGCAGTGTTTATTTTACAGGATGGGGTTGCTAGCCTCATGCCCAACCTTTCCTCTTTACTAGCATTATTTCTGGTTTAGCGAGGTAAAGGAGTGAGCCGGCCGGGGATCTAACCTCGGACCGTGTGCATGATCGGCGAACATCCTAACCGCTATTCCACCGACAGCTCAACAGAATTTTTATTGTGCAATAAAAATGCCGAAATTAAATGTCATCTTACAAGGAATTTCACACTGTACCAAATATACTGATTGGGATGAACTCATCACTAGTTTTATAGAACATTTTCAAGACGTATTCAGTAACACTGATTCATTTAAAGGTCTCCAAGCTTTTGACATCACAGAGAGTGACTGGCAGAAAATAGACTGACCGATGACATTACTTCATACTTAGCAAATTGAAATCACTTACATATATCTCTTTTGTATTTTGTAGGACATTAACAACCTGTACAGTCTGATATGTATGTCAACTCATCAAGTATGATATAAAACTTGCATTCATAGTTTTCTGCTTAACTTAACTTTCATAAAAAGCCACATATTAGTTTCGATTTTTAGCATGTTTAGCAGCTCGTTGTATCTGAATGCTATAACAATGAAAAATCAGTTTTGCTTGAAGTTTTTATGACAATTAGTTTGCATTTCATTAGATCGATGGTATTTCATATGGGAAAAAAAGTCTTACTTCTTTTTCAAAGATGTATTTCCATATGAAGTGACAATGAATATGCAACTGTGAAAGGGAAAACTGTAAAACTCTATAGTATTACATAATGGTTATTCAATAAATGTAAAAGTTAACCGAAAAATACACACAAAAATAGAATAACTATCAAACTGCATAAATAGATTTAGTGATGATGAAAACTAAAAGAGTGAAACAAATCAGTTTAAGGTTCGATTTCATGTGTGATGTTGAATTGCACAGTTCAGATTCACAACAGTTCAACTCAAGGCCTGGCTGGCGTGGATGACCTTGGCATGACGGTACACATCCTCTTGAAACATGTCTTATTGGCGACGTCAAAACAGCTTTCTAAAAGAAAAAAAAAAACACCGTAGAAAAATAAGTCACAGTGCAGTAGTACAAAGTTGTTATATATGTGTATTATCAATTGTTGAAGATATTTATGAATGTTTTCATAAGTGAGAAACAGAAGTGACCTTTCCTATTATTGTTCCAGTGGAGAAGCGTTGAAATTTATTGATGAAAACAAAGCGACTTGATTCTTGTATTCAAATTGCAGAAACAGTGTTTTGTCATTAATGATATAACTCTTTTTAACGGGGACATTTTGCAAAAATAGTATAAATAAATCACAGATTTGTCACCCTATAATCCAGAGAATTCTAAGGGATACTTTGCATACAAAACTGTTGACCACAACAACTATTCAATAAACGTCTGTTCATTTGAGTTCATTCACCTCCTCGATAAGTTGACTGCAGTATTATAACTTAAGACAAGTGAAATGTTCGCTACCTTCAAATAAACAAGACTGTTAATAATTGATTTCTACCCATCTTGACGCTTAGATTGTTCTTCGTAGTTGAATCTATAGAAGAAGGTGAATTTTTCATAAATATTTTGAGACTTTTTCATCTTAGAATAGTATGTACAGGATTTTTGTCAAATAAAATTATTATATTCTTCCAGTAATTTTTTTATAAAATTTCCTTCACGTTCCTCAGTGGAACATAGGGCCTCAAGCTAGTGGCTTGAAAACTCCGTAGCAGTGTTTGTTTGACAGGATGTGGTTGTTAGCCTCATTCCCAGCCTTTCCTCTTTGCCAGTCTTATTACTGGTTTCGCAAGGGGATTGAACCCAGAACCATGTGCATGGTCGGCAAGCGTCTGAACCGCTGTGCCACCGACGCGTATTCTTCCAGTAATAATAGAAGTAATTTTTGTGATCAGACCATTTGTATTCTCGAATGAAGATGTGAAGAAAAGTGTAACTAATCGCCAGGTAATCATCAGATAATTTTTCAGTGCACTTATATATATATATATACATTGTCATTATTAGATGTGACCATGTCTGCGCTCAATACTCAAGATCAGATGGCCGGCCAGAAAAGATCAGCAACAAGGATCTCTGGCAATGAGCGAACGAATCCAGCAGGAACCGATTGTGAAACAAATAGGCATTATGAAATGGAGATGGATTGGCTTTCCATACTCTGAGGAAACCATCAAGTGACATCTCTAGACAAGCCATCGCTCGAGTGGAACTCGAAAGGGAAGCGGCGAGTTGGACGTCAGTGCAAGGGTGACTTGGAGGAGGTCATGTGAAGAGGAGATGAAAGCATGTGGGCAGACTTGGAGCGGGTTGAAAACGTTGGCAGAAAACAGAAGGCAATGGAGACTTGCAGCTGAAACCCTATGTTCCTCTAGGAATTAAAGGATACAATAATAATAATGTGTAGAGCAAGAGCCGTCACATGAACGAACTCCCTCTGTACCACTGACGAATAAATGGTAATATCTGGAACCTGTAGTTTGTAGGGATTGCGTTTTCCTCTTCACTTTGATAAAGACAAACATATCGATATTAAGTAAGGGTTATGTGGAATATTTAAACTAGTAATGAATAAATCTCACCATGCAAGCTGAACAATTCATTTTCTTCGGCGTATTGCTATCCACTGTTTCACAGCCAATACACTCATAACAGCTTATAGGTCCTGTAAAGAATAAAGAAATATAAAATACTACTTAGTAAGCTATTGTATAAAATATTTGTGGTAATAAATTCATCAGGTTATTGCCTATCTGTAGGGTTTTCTCTCAATGGTACTTTTACACTAATCGGAAAAATTGTTCGACTTGTTTTGCGGAATTTATGCGTGGTCTTCTATTTATGGGCAAAGAGCAGAAGAGGCGTAAAATCAAGAGAACATCACCTTTTACGATGGGATGTATTCAAAATTGCATCTAACACTTATTTTAAAATTTTCTCTTTATCTCATCCGAATCTCCCACATAACTTATAACGTATGACTCACTATAACTTCCCAATCGGGCTTTGCATAAAAATCCAATTTCAATATTTTTATTATCTACCTAGAAGTGTATTTCAGTTATACTCACTGATGTTCACATATCCATATTCAAAACTACATAGAATTATAATCTCAAAACCTATTCTGGGTGTTAGTTAAATATTCGAGTCTTTTAGTTTTGAATTTCGCACATTTTAACAAGATTTCAATAACTAACTTGTAAACGAGTTAACGATAGAGAAGTTAATTTCATTTAAATAAAATATTAAAATATATTTACCAATATTAACGACTTTGGACAATAGTGCTTTCACTTGTGCTTTTAATTCCTCAAAACTAACTGAAATAAAATAAGAAATATATATAAAAAAACCTACTTTTACATGATGAATATTTGTCCCAAAATTAAAAACAAATATTAAAATATTTAACATACTCTTTCTCATTTGTTTAACCTTCCTATTTTAGTGTTTGACAGTAATTACAAATATTTGCTTATATATTAAACTACAAATGTTTTGAGCGAATTTGATTCTTACCCAACATAAAATAATTACAAACATTCCTCAAAGATCATTTCATGCATATGTCGTAAAAATATTTTGTTCTAAAGTTTACAGAATTCACTGAATATATCTTTCATATTTCTTACATTATCATTCATGTAAAGCAACTCATTTATGGCGACATACGTCAACTGAGGTAATCTCTTTCTTTTCTTTCCTTGTAAAAATGACTGAGAGAAAAATCTGCTGCATACTAAGTCAGTATGAAACCTAATGCCTACAAACTCACACTGAGAAGACAAGCTCTGCAGTTTAAAGGAACCAGTTGACCCAATTAGACAAAATAATATCATTTACAAAATACTTTGCAGTGACTGTGAGTAAAGTCAACTACATAGGCCAGTCAAACTAGTAGGTCGGGGGTAGTCAGATTGTCGGAACATACGAATTAAGCTAAGGTAAGAATGGTTAACCCAGAGAAGATAAGTAATTTAGGAAAAAGCTCAGCAATCGCACTGCATGCATCAAAACACAACCACACAATAGGGTAGGAGTGGGTTAAAATTTTAAGAAATAATCTAGGTTGGTGGAGAAAGAAAGGTTGATTACTGGATCCTTGTTCATCGAGTCTACACCAAACACATGCAATAGGAATAACTCATCACTCATATCGTAAATATTGAAAATGCTACTAACAATCAAGTCAGGCGATGGAAAATGATGGAATTATATAAAAGAAGTTAGAAAGTTGTGTGAGTAGTGCCTTGATATGATTATAAGCTATAAACTGTGCTCGGAACGTCATCAGTAAATATTACTGTGTAAAACTCTGAGACTTTATCAAAACAATTTTTACCCATAGTGTTATATTAATTCACAGATATTATGACTTCTCGTCTACCGTGACGTGGATTCATTATTAGAGTTCATTTATATGCACTAACATGGATGACTGATTAACTGAGATTATCCAAGATAAAATGTCGCAGATTAAGTGAAAACATCAAGCTCTGTGGGAGTTTAACATCAAATGTATGCAGCGTACAAATGCGGAAGTTTCCACCACCGTTTTATTGCTCATATTCGTTGATGTGATTGCATGTTAAATATAAATATAAAATAAACTCAACAAATGTAAAATAAAACACTCTATCAAAATATGATTATGCTTACCTGACTCTACTTGAAAGCTGATCACTAAAACCATGAATGCTAAAATAACCAACATCACTAATAAGCTATGTTTATTTTGAAATTGTTTTTGTCGCTGTGACGATTATTTCACACACGTTTACCCTTATATACTTTCATACCTTTCTATTGATTTGTGTATTAAATGTCAGCAAATTGTAAACAACATGCTAATTAAAAATTGTTTGAGAATAACAATTTTTGAAAAGATGTCGTTGGTTTTCCAGCTGACATTTTAAGTTTATAGATTTTCTATAGCAAAATTTGACTTAAAGGCTTGGATAATTTAATACACTATGACAAAAGTGCTAGATGACAGATATCAGTTTAAAATGTAGACAACCCACGAGAACAAATTAATGAAGATTACTGTCACATTGCAAATAAAGTAAAGACCTTCGTGGAATAAAAACAAAGTTGTTCCATTTTTGAATTGACAGACTTTAGAATTGATCAAAACAACAGATTCTGTCACAAGAGTTCAGTGGTCAACAAGATCTTCTTTGGTCGGTGTTCAGTATCCAGTGAATTCATGAGTGAAACCTGATGAAGAGTCCAAAATTAAAACAAAACGACTGCCCAGTACTCCATGGTTTTCTTTGTTTTTTAACTGATAGCATTCCGTGATCAAACTCAGAACCAATCAAATCTCTGAAAAATAACATCTGTAACTTTCTAAGAAATCAAATGCTTAGCTGTTACTGCTTTGGATTCATAACACCACAGTTCAAGTAGTACGCTGAAGTATGTTCTTAGAATGTCAATATTCAAATATCATAACTCTAAATGAAAGTCGATTCTTTCATAAACTATAGCACACATGAAGAAGAAATCATCAGCTGGAGAGTAATACTGAAGCTAAGGCGGCTTGTTTAAATCACTGGCCTATCTAAACGTTCTATCCATCAAAATACATTGTTTCATATTGTTTTAACTAAATGGCTACCACAATTAGTCGCAGTTTATACTCGCGCAAAATTCCATATCAGTTTCTGCCAATCACTTGGAATATTTCAAAGGAAATGGAGGAACAACATTGTGGAGTAGTACTGAAACATACTTCGGATAGAACGATATTTCTTCATATGACAAGTCATGGGTTATTATATGATTTCAAAATTCTATACAAGGAGTAAATACTTTGCTATGAAAATCTCTGAGAATTCTTCAATATCTTTAAATTTACCTTTCAAAATAAAGCTATTAATATTATTGATGAAAATTTATCTAAAATTGAGATCATCATTTAGGTAAACATTCTTCTGTTCAGCTGGAAACGTATAATCACCCGAATTTCTGGTGACGAATGGTTCTACCAGATCATACCTGGTAGAACCAGACGTTAGTACAAACAATCCTATACTCGCATTACCAAGCATGTTGTTAGCTGAATAATTGGCCCTTTATTATCTCCCATTTGATGATGCCTTAATTTAACTGCACAATCTTAGCTACTAACATTATTATTTACAATTTATCTATAAGTTCATCACGGAATGATATCAGTTGGAGAACCATTGAAAACCAGGGAGTACTGAACACTACTAGCAGTCTTTGATCATAGGTGACCACGCTGTATCTCCCGTGTGAAGTGGTATAATAATGTGAGCAATATTGAGGCTAGGCGTCGAGTGTTTGGTAAGCAGGGGAAATCAATTGACGAGGCTGTGAAGCTACATCGACTGAAATGGTTAGGACATGTGTTACATATGTCTAGTCATCACCTTCCTCGACACTGGGCAATGTTAGTGGATATAGGGTCAGGCTGGAAAAGAACTAGCGGAGGTCAAACCAAAACATGACACCAGTCAATGAAATCCACAACAGTTAGTCTAAGCCACGTAGGAAGGTGTAGACATACTGGTTGAGGTCCTCGGGACGGTAAAAACCAATGGTTAGAAACAATTGGTGGTATGGCTCAAAATCGTTCTCAATGGCTGGCGCAGATGCAACAGGGGTTCGAACCCATGATCTTCCAGTTACAAGGCAAGCTGGTATACCATTCAGCCACCAGGATCCAATTCAGTGGCTCATGAATTATAACCTCTACCAGTTCAAGGTTTAGTGAGACCTCAGTCAGCGTCGCTGATGGGACATCCATCCTCACACGAGACATCTGGATGAACCTCACTGGTCATTACTTCCCACTAGAACTATAGGAAACTACATGCTGTATACAAGCTTGCCTTGAAACTGGAAGGTCGTCGGTTCGAACCCCAGTGAGTGCGTACTGTCAATGATTCCCAGACTAGGATGAAACGACTGTCTAGTACTCCCTGGTTTTTAGTCGTTCTCTAACTAATATCAATCCGTGATCAACTGGTAGAAACAAAACTAATCCTTACAAATCAATTATAGAATATTTACAATTTTTTGTATATATATCTGCATATGACTTCACTATCACTACTACAAATACGACATAAGAACCGTCACTACCAATTCCATAATATTATTCCTAATATTGTTTTTTATATGTTGTTCTATATAGTCGACCGATAATCTTTACTGCAAACATCATTATCATTATTTTACAAGTTTGTTTATGAGATTACTGCCACAACTAATACCAAAACAGAACTGTCATTAACAATCCCGTGATATTACGTTTATAATTAATTTTAATATTATTCGATAAAATTAGATGCAGTAATGTAACAAACAAATGCTGAAAATTCCATACTGTAACATTAGTACTGTTTTGGTATAAATCACAATATCATTATTGTTAATTTATATATATATATATACATATATATATATACATATATATATATTGCTACAGAAACATCAAGCCACTAGCTTGAAGACCTATGTTCCACTGGGAACGTGAAGGAAAAATTAATTATTATATATATATATATATATATATATATAATCTAATCCTGATATATCAAAATTCCACTACTCTACCAGTTTCATATTTCAGTATCGCTCACAGTTGCTTATTGTTTCAAATAGTGCGGAAGTTGATCTACAACGCATGGTGAGTGTATACAAGTCATGTTGATTATCATATATGAGAAGTTGACGTTAAACAATAACTAGTCTGGTGATCATACTCTCAGTTTCTTGCAAGAAAACTGTCTATCAAGTGTGAAACATCATGCCTAGCAGGTGAATGACACAATACTGCTGAATAAGTCAATGATGAAATTACACTCACTCTTGTAGATATGAGCACTCATCAGCAATATATGTCAATAATTTGTAGGAGACATTCATTATCGTCATTATTCTATTTTGTGTCACTCAACCAACATTCATCTGCTTAAACATGAATGTTGATAATATAGATTGGTTACTGCTCATACCTGACACGGTGAAACATCAAGAATAAACTTGCTTAGGTTTTAGGCTAATTGTTTTGGTCAACTTCTGTATTGAAATTTCATTTCATACATAAATTTTGTTTATGAATGCAGAGTAAAGAAACAAGTGACTAATAGTGCGCAAAATATAAGGTTTGTATTTGATCGAAGTGTGTCAACAACTCTTTAGGCCTACCATTGCAAATCTATTGCTGCTTTCGTATGCCTACAGGCTATAGAAATATAAAGTCATCGTGACTTTCACTTCTATTTCAAAACATCAGCCATCAGATATATATTTCTGCAATTAGAAGCCCTCCCCAGACAGTAGCTTAGGAATGAATTAAAAAGAAACTTACTATGCTTTGAATAAGGCATTAAGAAGACAAATACGTAGGATGTTAAAGGTTGTCAGCAGGGTAAGCAGTTTGCCACTTAGCCAGCTTGTTAACATTCTGGTGGACAGGCACATGGACTCATGTGAAAAATGGGCGAAATCCATTTTATCTGACTCACAACACCCTCTACATTCACAACTCTCCCCATGTATCTCTTCAGGGAAAACCAGAAGTCTATATAGGAAACTATATGCCCGCACTAGTAAGTACAAAAACTCATCCATACCCTACCTAGCCTGTGTTCTGTGCGACAAAGAATGCATCAGGCATGAAACCTTTAACTTATTAAATAGTCAGTAGAACCAATGGATCTCGTCTTTCCAACTCACATCATTTATAGTTACAACGTTTTCTTTCTCTTCATTCTGTATTTATTTTTGTTATGTGCTGCTTTGTTTCTCTCTTCCTTGGAAACTTTACTTAAAACATTCTTGTTCGTTCTTTCACACTCTGTATATCTCGACCATTTTGCTATCGCTTACGCCTGTAAATATGCTAGTAGTATCTACTTTTCTAACACCTTCAAACACTTTAATTTTTGGCTTTGCTACCGACATGCTAATATGTTGTTGTCAAAACTGACTGAGATAACTTTAATCTATGTAGAACTTTATTTATTGTTAATGTAAAAACTGGATGCAATATTGTAGTAAAATGCTGAGAATTCCATTCTGTATCACAAGTACTGATTTGGAATAAAGCTTATGTTATGTTATGTTAAATTTCGCGAGATGATATCATTTCACAGTTTCTTTACAACCGCTTTACAACTAACATGGTTAACAATAATAAAATAAAGATCATGACAACTGCTCAGTTAAATAACAAAACAAAAGTACATACTAATGACCAATCATATTTAGATAGGTAATGTTGTCCATGGTAGGCGAAGACTGAAGTCTATTGTTTTTTGTACAAACAGTTTAGGTTGTATGTGATTAATCTCGCAAAGTGCTTCCATCACATAAAGTATAATTATATTTCAATAGTTTGCACACAATGATAAGTTTTGTCAATGGTAATAATTCGAGCGCCACTGTTCACACCACTGTTGGAATTGTTTTATGCTTCCATCACATTCAATAACCTTGAATTTGAGTTATGTGAAATAATTGTGAAACAGTCAATAATATTGATTTTGTGACCTGACATTATCAAGTGTTTTGCATTGGATGATGCTGGATTTCTATTCAGACTAGTCGCGTTGGGATTTTCTATATGATTTATTGGCCATTTTGGAACATGTTCTTTTCGACAACATTGGAACATTCTGTTGGTTCTACCTATATAGGTGTCACCGCAGCTGT